GTCCTGTCATGTGCAATGAATGCATAAGCAAGTTATGAATATCGAGTTGCGTGGAAGCGACCAGTGACGGCTCTCTCACACATTGTCAATTATGAGTAATTGCGTGGGGTGGAAATTTGTCATATACTGGTTGTGACATGTCTGAGATTATCTTAAAAGAATTGAATAATATCAGAAAAGATTTGAAAGCTGTTGTTTTGGAGAACAAGAACATCAAATATATTTTATAATTGTACTTTAATGTACTCAATTTTACAATTTCTCAACTCAATTAATTTTAGTTACCCAGCCATTAAAATATAAAGAATATAAATAAATTAGACAATTATAACATTCAAATATTTTCAAATTATAACTATTTACAACTTAGGCGATTTCTTTACACAAAAAAGAGAAACAAAAGACTGTATTTAATTGAAAATTTTGGGATATTGTCTTAATGGACTATGCATCAATCAAAACTATCGCTTAGAACATTTTTATTAAAGCTAGAGTTAGAACATCATAAAGCTTTTTTAATTATTATTTTTTTGAGAATAATAAGATGTTTGCAGGGAGGCCAGTCTGCTGCGGTGGGTTTTCAGCCTATCGTTGTACCGGCTGGTGACATTATTTTGACGTTTTGACATTATTTTAGGTCATGAATATTTATGGCATATCCCAGGACAACCCAGTGCAAGCAGTTTTACCATCTCTTCAGTATTTAAATCAAATACAAATATTGTTTTGCGGTCAATGAAAGAACAATTTCTTAAAATGCTATTTTTGTTATTTTTAGAATCTATCACGGAGACAAAATTAATCACATTGGGCCTACGTTTCAGACCCCTTTTATCTATATGTGTGCATCCTTTAATTAACAATTATGTTATCTGTACATACCAGACAGAAGACAGCAGCTCCCTAAAAAGCGCATACCTTACTTTATAGATATTCTATTACATACCATCTTAGAGTTGAAATAACATTTTTGTTTTTAATTTGAATATAATTACTTGTGTATGCAGAAATCTAAAGCTGATGTTACTAGAACTCAATGTTCATATAATGCTCTTTCTACTTACGCATTAGTATTTGCATGTTTATATAAGTGCGTACAAAAGGCATATGTCCACTGCCTGCCTGTTCAACAATATCAGATGCCCATTACAATAAACTACAAGACAACCGACAAGGATTCACACTCATTACACAAGAGATTGTACATTGTTCTTGGCCGATTGCACAGGAATCTGTTCATTTATTAGACCACCTCGTGCCTTGCAATTGATACAATTCATTGCGCAAATTAATCAGGAATTCATGTGAAGCTCGAAGGTGGCAAACAAGCAAAACAACGCTCACATGCACTCATAGGTACGAGTATCTGTTTGATCTCTCCACTTATTGCTTGCACTTCGACAGATACACAGATACAGATGCTCGTAAAGCAGACAAAGTGGTCGAACACGCCTTATTACAATAAAGTTTGCTGTCTTGTTTGCTCTGTTATCAATGCAATAGAGATGTGTGTTGGTGGTAGTTGTTTGAATTATAAAGTACTAGTAATCTAATATATATCGAATTTAAATATATACAATTGTTATCCTATTGCTTTACTTAATAAATGAATCTTGCGAATTAAAAATAAAAGTGGAAACATATTTTACACCTAGTGATACAATGGGGGATGTTATTGTGCTATGTACTATGTTGTTGTAATTTGACTTCGAATTGTAGTTTTTTGCTTATTGACTATTGTTATTAAAACATTTTGAATTCAATTGAATAGGTAGTGCAGATTTGCACATTTGCTTGAGTATACTGAGCTACAAATATTTAATTTTGTACTTGTCTCTAATCACATGTAAATGCGATACTAGTGGGTATCATTTATTATTCAAACTGGTATTGTGAATGTCATCAACAAGCTACAAAAGTTGTTCAATTTTCAATTCAATTCAATTGCAATTAATTTACCCATTTAATTAATAAAGCTAAATCGCTCCAGAAACAACTCCAGTAAACAAATTTAATATATGGAAAGCAAGAATATTGGATTTCTTTTCCATAAATTATAGGCGCGTGCAGGAAAAAATCAAGTCTTGCGATTTTATTATCATATTTACACAGACTTTATTACAATCCTTAGCTTCGATAGGTCTAAATAAAATTTAAAAAAAAGAACATTTATTTATTATTTATTAATTTATGAATGAATATTTCAAATTTAAATAAAATGAGCTTTGAAATGTATAATAGAAGTAATTAATTGTGTTTAGGCTTAAAATTAAAACGGAATGACGCTTGTCAGCAAAAACACACAGCTTTGAAGCCCACAGCCATCGTTCTTGTACGATGTTTCCATTTGGCTATCTTCTATTTACAGTTTTCAATCCAATGACATTGTGGAAGTCAAATTAAAACATAACGGCAAAATTCTGCCAATTATTAAAATTCTTTTCTGTATTCATACTAGCAAGGATGTCGTATCTGAAAAGGAATTATTCGCCAACCAAAACAACTGTACAATTATTAACAATTTTATGAAAGAAACGCTCATGAGCTGACATATAAAGTTCATTAAAATAACAATTGATGGATTTAAATACTTGTTTGTGTGTATACAATTATATAAAAAAGTCCTTTAAGAAATATATTTCAATTCGCAATATTTCAGACCCGCACTTAACTCTGCTTTTGTATTCATGGAGCCTCACACTGCATTCGAGTTTTTGTCCCGAATTAGTTCAATACAATACGTTCGTGAATTCAATTCCAGGTTCTGTGCTAATGCTGTGTAGCGTATGTGTTGCCTCATTTCTCGCTAATTAATTATGGGAACACGGTGAGAATCAAAGAAGGCCATGGCTTGTTAATGAAACATGAGGCGCAGTGATGTCAAAGGGTTGTCCATCGAATGTGCTCATACCATCATGTGTGTGCTTGTGTGTGTGGAATGAGCTTTCACCTTATGCAGGTATATTAAAAGCGCTTTTTAATTGCCTTTCGAGTCCGTTTTCACTGAAGAAGATGCCGTTCATTTGCATAATTGAACGACTGTGCTGATGATTTACGATGGGTATGCATGTGTACTTATACGTATTCAAGGCAAACATTTTGTAATTGAGCGCGAAAAACATTTGTTAACATGCGAGAGTCGGTGTGAGTGTACGAAAATACTCATATGTATGCATGCGCTTGGGTATGTTTGTGAAGCACTGTACGCACATTAAATCATAATAAACATTAAGTTAAGTTGCGTCTGCTAAGCAAATGAATATTTACGCACACGCATGCAGCCAACAAAATCAAGTAATAAAAGCGCTACACAAGTCATTACGTATACGCACCGAGAGAGAATTTGTTCAATACTTAAACCTACGGCAACAACAACAATGAGAGCTCACTCCTCTGTTTGGTACTTAATTTTGAACAATATCTAGCGTATAAAGTGCCAACAATAATAATAATACCAACAGTAACAATTTTGGTTTTTATAGCATACTTTTAGGCTGTACCACCACCAATAGAAACGTATGCTTGCAGTTTCCACTAAGCAGCTTAGAATTGTGCGCCTGTCATGCCAGAACTTTAGCTAACACTCAAGTATTTAAAGCAATGCTGCGGCATTTTTCACGCCATGCACACACACACACACACACACACACACACACGCTCGCACAAATACATTGACAGACAGAGAGAAATCGTGCTGCCTATTTGTAGGCACCTATCAATGGCTGCCACAAACAGTGGCTGTCTGTATGTGTGTGTGCGCGCGTAACAGACGTAACATTTCATGCGTAAATTGTAAACTTTTGATTGGATTGTGCGGCTTTCGACACACGCGTCGGCTACGTAATGCGTGCTAAATTATTGGGAAAAACCGTCGCCTGTTGAGAGTGCATGACTTCGTTCGTACACATATACATGTGTGCATGAGTGCGTGTACATGTGTGTTGATCTTTCAGCCACAACACATTAAAAAGTTGTGTGTCTTAAAAAAATTTTATGATATTTTGTCGCTATTTAAATCTACACAATTTAGGGATTAAATTGAAAATCATTTGGCCTTAATAAAATCTATGTTTTAAAATTTAAAAATATACTTTATTTTACTTCACTTTATTTTGAAAATGTATGAGTTTATGTCTGTTGATAGTTATTTTGTCGTATTTTGTTCCTTTGAAAAGAATTGGATGCTGATTGAATAAATACATTTTGAAATACCTTGCATGTACCTTAAGTCTAAAAATAATTTTCAAAACACTGTTTATTAACTTTTCAATGTATAAAGCCAGATATATGACAACATATTTATAATTACAAAAAATCGCTTACATCCAATTCAATCCGATTCAGGATACTTTATTAATCAAATACGTTAAAATAAACAAAAACTAAAACATTAATAATAAACTAATAATTTTAAAATACTATAGAATATTTGGCTGTCAATTTGTTATTTCTGAATTAATTTTAAAAATACGTTTTCATTCTTTTTATAAACCTATCTAATAGAGCTAGCGCCCTTTTTAAATCAACTGCAGCAATACTTTTCGGTGCCCATATAATTTAGTAATATCTATGATAACATTAAAACCAATTTATTCTTCATGGATATAACAAACACAAACCGACCTGGAACTTCTTCATCTTTCTTTTTAATCTTTCATAGGTAAGTAATTAATGGACTTAGGCAATAACTGCAGCTTTAATTATCTTAAATGTCTATTGTCATTCAAAATAATACATTATGTAAAATTTAGAAAAATAACGAAAATAATAAAATGTTTTTGTTATTAAACATTCATTATTATATTTATATACATACATACAAGTAGTATATACATTTACATAATTCCAAGTAAATGAATTTTTAAATTATAAAGCAGCAGAAATAAAATAATTCAAATATACCACAACAGTCCAAGCGAACAATAATTAAAGTTAAATATTTATACTGAAAGAACTAAATTCATTGATCACGATAGCACTCCTCTCCAGTCTCCCTGTGTAGTGAACAGTGGCATATGCACATCGGCAAATGTTCATTATTATTATACAAGTAGCAATTCAAAATTTAACAGTGGTACTAGCGAAGCTTCAAACCACTTTGGTAAAGGCATCAAGGTCTTGTTAACACTGATATGCATTTGACACAAAGCTCTGTTAAGCTTGTCAGACAGCTGTCAATAGTTGAAACATAGGCTACGAATTTAATTACTTCCTGCACTCGACCTCTTTCTGTTCTGACCGCTGGCACGATCAGTTGTGCTTTATTTAGCTGCAATAAATTTTGTTTAAATTATTATAAGTGAAACACGTGTATATTTTCGTGTGCAAATCGTGCTATTGAGAAGCCATCCTCAAGGAGGCTTTATTAAAACCTTGTAAGATCACCATTTCACAGCGTTTATCTGTTCCATTTTGGATTATTTTTTTTGCTTCAAAGAATATTGTAAGTGTGACTATATTGACGCAACCAATTGGATGCTAATATATGTTCCCAAAAATTATAAGGGTGTATGGCGACATGAGCTATTGTCTTGGTCGGCTCATCCACAATTAAACGTTGGATTCATCCCGTCAGATAATCAGGCGAAGCTGGAATTTGAATGCAAAAATTAGCGACAAGGCAGAATTTCAATAGGCAGCAAACGTAGCAGCAGCAGCGGCGGAGAGAACTCGACTTTTACAAAGACTCCAGTGCCCTCCAAAAAACCAGGAGAAAGAGCCACATATACTCGTATATGTGTACTAACGTTAACGAATTTGGTTTCTTTAAAATTCAGGCAGAAATATCAATATTACGAATTTTTGCATGCTTAACCTAAAAGCAGAGACCCTGTGCTTACAAATTGCATGTACAGCGCAAGTACAAAGTCCAACTTTATTGGCATAATTTTATCTAAGCATCAGCTATTAATAGCAATTGTTTAAAGTAACTGTATTTTGGTTTGTGCAAAAGCAAAAGTTTTTCTTTATCAAAAGTTCAAATGTAAGAGAGCCTCTTACATAGGCATATAAGTAATTCATACATACATATATATTAGAGCAGGCATTTGCAACTCAATAAGTGCTGAGTTTGGAAATATTAATATATTAATTTTTTTTTTTTTTTTTTTTTATTGGAGATCGAAAGTGTTGAAATAGTACTGCTTGTATAAATTAATTTTGATCCCATACTAACATACACAGCAACATCTGGAAACTATGGAGGCCTTCATCGGATTTTTCAGAGGGTGAGTCAAACTTGCATATCTATTTCTTGCTTATTTTCGATCATCAAGTGTACAGGTTAATAAGTAAATTTCAAATATATAAAAGTACGGCTGTTAAAGTTTTGGGGTCAATGCCCTTGAAAAGCTTTTCGTCAACGATTAAACATATGATGCCCAGCATCACAGCTTTTTAGTTTCCAAGTTTGTTTTGATTTTTATTGCTAATTGCTGATACAGTTCGGTATAACTGTTTTACTAGCGACTGATAATAATATTTTTATTTTTGCTCTCGATGCACTTATGCTTATTACTAGATATATTTATGCATGAATTATTGCTTTTTCTTTAAACCGGTATACTCTGATATCATTTTTCATTGTTTTGAGGAAACAAACTTATATCGCAATTATGAATTACTCTTGCTTATGCAGAATAACTTTGGTTTATCAACTCTTATGTGCTATTGATGAATATTAACCTTTAATTTTAGTTTGATTATGTTTTTTCTTTTATTTACGTTATGATTACTTGAATTTTAAAAATGCAAAAGAATGAAGTTTATTTGGAATTTAGTATTTTTCATTATATATTGAATAAAATAACTATGACTTTGTGAATTTAAATATATTTTTCCTAATGTAAAGGGATAAGGCAGGCGAAGTAGCCTCTTCTTGGGATTTTTCTTAAAATAACGCACAATGGAAAAATCATTGGTAGGGTGGGTAGAGAGCGTAGCAACCACACCATCTGGTTAGCTTTGAAGAAGGTATTGCTGTTTCTTAATACATTTTCCGATTCTTTTCATTGTCTTTCTTTTTCTTTCTTTCACTGTTAGCCTATTGCAAGTGCCGCCCCAACTATCTTTTTTTTCTATGTACCAGGCATAGGGATCTCTATAAATTAATTATGTATTATGGGTGTTGATGGAGTGTACGGTCAAGAACCCTCCCACAGGCTGTTTTGCTAGCCGCAGTCAATGTATCCCGCACCGACCCTCTCCCCCAACAACGTCAGCCCATAGAATGTGTATGGTTGTACATTATACGTGTCTTATTGTGTGTACATTACATCTCTGTACAGTAAAAAAATTTGGCGTGCAACCTTATCTGTTCTCACCTTACATAAATTTGATGAGAACCAGACTAATTTCACATTACACCTGCTCGGGAAATTGACATCTTGTTGATATACGTGCTTTAAATATGTGGGCGAATATTTAAAGTTTAGACCGATTTCATGCAATTATTTTTTCAAATCGTATAAAATAATTTAAATCGAAAACAAGAACATTGAAACAACTCTATTTCTAAATTTGACATTTCACAAAACTTTCCAAATTGTACATTTTTGAATTCATAATGGTGGTGACATTTTTAACGTTGTCAAATAATGCGATTGATTAAAGTGTTGTATGTTGCTCTTAATTAAGCAATCAACACTGATGCCAATGTGCGTAGCATAGGCAATGAGAGTAGTGGTGTTGGGAGAATATGGTCTGCCGATTCAACTAGCCTTGTCACTCATTTCGCTGTCAGCTACGCACAAAACAAAATTAATCAATGACGCTTGGCAGAATGATGAGAAGGAAGCCGAGGCCGTCGATGCTGTCGCTACAACAGTGACAGAACATTTTGCGCTCTATGAAAACTCATTTTCATTATAAACGTCTCGTCAGTTACCGTCTCCCCCTCACAGTTCATTCCTGCACTCGGCCCACATATCGGCCGCCATGCTGCGCGACATGTTGCCAATAATTTTTCCTTCGCTTTGTTTTTGCCTTCGTTGCGGGTTTTTGTTGTTTTTTCTGTGTGTTTTTTCCCGGCTGTTTTATTTTTTTTTAACAAAGTTTCGCTAACTTTTTGTTATCTCATGGCTGTCATATATTTGCACTGGTTTCCTGCGCAGTCCTTGCTTTGTGTTTCGTTTTGCCTGCTTATTGGAATTTGATCTAATTCGTTGTTGTTGTTTTTGCTATTTCTATTTGTCTTCTTTTTTCCTCGCTTTTTTGGTTTTGTTCTTCATGTGACTTGCGCTTATCAAAAATCAATTTGTATGGCATTCGACTTGAACCATTGAAGCAAATATCATGCTATGGCGGCTTCTGACTTTTTGTATTGTGTGTATGTGGGTTCTGAATTGAGTTTTAAAAGCACTGACCATTTGCTATACAAGAATTGAAAATGGCAAAAAAATGGAAAAGTGCCAAGCGGTGTTTTCCTTCTTCTTAATAATGTTATATGAACTCGACGGATTCACATTTCAATTGACATAAAATTTAAAATATTTAATACCATAAACACCAAATTGGTTTTTGTTGAGAGCTGCGCACTGGTGCTTTGTGAATGTACAAAATATCAAATGAGTTTGTTGAAATTGTTATAAAATTTGTGAAGAGACGCACTATAAAAATTTATGAACTCAAGAAATCTTTAAAAAAATGTATTTAGAGGAATAAAAGAAGGTAGATACTTTAATTTTTTTTAAGCCATTACAAATAAATCAAATTCAAGATATAGTATGGTATAGCGGGCTGAAAGTAATCAGCATTGCTTACTTTTGGGTTAACAATTAATTGAATTCCTCATAATATCGTTCTTTGTCGATGTACAAGTACCAAATGGAAATAAGTTACCAAAATTGCTTTGGTTGATGAGAAAAGAATTCGTAGAGAATCTACCTATTTTTCAATGATATCTATTAATTCTAATATAATTCATAAAAACGCCATGAACTTAATTGTAAATTAATCAAAGCGATAACTTTTCTATAATTAAACTAGTTTTATCGAAAACGACATATTTTTGTTGAAAGCAATCAGTCCATTAGAAGATAAATTAATATCTTCTGTAGCATATTATCTTCGTAATCTTAGCTAAAAGCTATTTTGTAAATTAAACATTTCTATATTCCGAACCAAATTTGATGCATGAAAATATATAGTATAGTATATTTGTGATAACTTTTTCATTTAGCTAACGTCTCGAAATTTGCAATAACAAACAATATTAATTCTAATATAATTCATAAAAACGCCATGAACTTAATTGTAAATTAATCAAAGCGATAACTTTTCTATAATTAAACTAGTTTTATCGAAAACGACATATTTTTGTTGAAAGCAATCAGTCCATTAGAAGATAAATTAATATCTTCTGTAGCATATTATCTTCGTAATCTTAGCTAAAAGCTATTTTGTAAATTAAACATTTCTATATTCCGAACCAAATTTGATGCATGAAAATATATAGTATAGTATATTTGTGATAACTTTTTCATTTAGCTAACGTCTCGAAATTTGCAATAACAACAACAGCAATGGAAAGGCACCGCGCGTAAAACCAAAACAAAATTTGTGACAGGAAGTTTAATTTGGCATGAGTGTGTATGTGTTCGGGTGGAGATGTTGGCGTGGACATGTTCGAGTGAATCAAACAGAATGTGACATTTGCGTAACTATGTATTTGCACGACGAAATGCGTAAATGGCGGATACCAAACAACAAAAAACACACAGTTTTGAAAAAAGCGTGCCTTTAAGGCCATACAAAATGATTTTCTAATTTCCACATACCATAAAATACGAGTGAAAGGGTGGGAGAGATGCCGACAGTCGTGGAAATGAAAATCCTCATTTGTACAATTTACAAACAAACCGGTCGAACAGACAGACAAGCATACAAATGGACAGATGGACACTCAAACAAACAACCCGAAGAGCAGCAAAAAGTCAACGGGCAGCAAACAAACTCACAAAAAAGGCAGCTGTCTGTTATTTTGGCGCATGAAAGTATGCAACAAAAAATACACAAAAAAGGAAGAAAAACACCGAAAAATTGGCGCTCAGCACGTAGAAGAAGCGACGCGCACGCATATGAAAATATTTAAATTTGAATTTAAGCTTGCATTTAGTTTCTTTTTTTTTTGTTTTTTTTTTTGATGGCACATGCACGCCATTTATACTATAGTAGCCTGCATTGGGTCACAGACTAAACACAGAAAAAAATACAAAAAAAGAATATATATAAGTATATATAACAAAGAGTTTTGTCGCAACCCTTTTGGCAGCCTGTTTTTGTTCGATTTTAGTGTCAGGCTGCAGTCACGTACGCGTGATCATAATAAAATAGAACTCGAAAACAGCCATAAAAAGCAGCTGAAGCTGCTGGTGATGCTGATGCTGATGCTAGCAAAGGGGCGCATCATAACAATTGCAACCAGCAGCTTTACACAAATCGATGGCACTAAAATTCTCTTGCCATCGGCATTAGCGTCAGTGCGCATAAACAACAAAATGCAGCGATAGATGGCAAGTATGTATGAATGTATGAATGTTCTCAAGGCAAAATGTCATTAGAGCACGGCCATATTTCCGCCGGATGTTGTGACTATATCTGTGGATGAAGTTGCCCGTTTGCAATAACAAAGTTTCAAAATCGATTTGAAATCTAGAACTAAAGTTTCAGTAACTTAATAATGAAAATATGACGTGTCTTCATCTTCATGTTGCTTTAGATAACGGATGAGCTTTCTGATAATCACTCAGTTAGAAGCGCCCAGAAATTTATTTAATGATCCAAATTGAAGAGACGATTGGTTGGCTTTGTTTTGTTATGTGTGCTTTATGGTTTAATCCCCTAATTTATTGATTTGTTTTTTATTTGGTGTAAGTTTGCGAAGTAAGTTTGCAGTCATAGTATGCCTTTATAAGGAAGTTGAATTATTTAAAATAAATATGAACAGCTTTTAAATTTTGAATATTTAACTATATCCTGAAAATAAATGTAGATAATAACTATTCTCCTGATTTTCCAATGGGATGTTCTCGAATTGCAATTCTCAGCACTCTGCGATATTCTGTTTTTTTTTTTTAGAAACCGACTTTAAAATATGATTTTCATAAGTTTTTTTGGATTAAGAACAGTACATAAATGAACTCCAAGGAATAAATATATTTCTTTCATTACCAACACTTTATGTGATAAAACACTGTATGTTCTTAGAAATAAGAACTCTTTAAGTGCA